AGCCAAAAAATGGTTATAGAAATTAAGTGGTATTACTTAGATGTAAGTGGTATTACTATATGCATAGAACGAGAGAGTCGAAATGGCATTGCAGCGATCCAGAATCTTCAATGAAAGACCCAGCCTGTATAAGCAAAGCCTATAGGCACCCATTCATTAATGTTCTTTGCGTTGGAATTACAAAAATAAATAAATACATTTTCATTTTCTATGAAAATACTCAACAAAAATAATCACATTTAATAAACAAAAATTTGTATCAAATAGAAATTTCTATTTTATATTTAAAAGCTTTTAGTGAGGTTTAAAAATGTAACCTTATTTTTATTATTGGCAACTATATATTAAAAATATTTTTTTAAAATATTTTTTTATTTTGCATAAACGTGTAAAATTAAATAAGACGTGGCTGAAAAAGAATTTAATTTTTGAATTATATATTAATTTTTTTTTTTTTTTTAATAAGGAAATATATATTTTTTTAGTAATTAATTATTTTTTATAAATATTTCTTTTTTATGTTTTATTTATTTTTTCTTTTTTTATGTTCATTAAAATATCAAAAATAAAAATTCATTTAATAGAAATACTCTTAGCATACTAGAAAACAAATTTGTTGTTATTCCTAAACTCAGTTCATTTCGTTCGACTTTTAGTTAAATTTGATTGAATTTCAATTTTCAATTTCGTATAAATTTCAATTTAGCTTGACAATCAATTAAGTTTTCTGACTTGAGTTTCAGTTCTGCTTTTACAAATAGTTTAAGCAATTTTTCACAAATTCAATGAGCATCAAATCTTGAGCCAAGCATTCATTTCAAAGGCTGAGCAACACAATGATTGCTCGCTTTAAAGCTATCATAGAGGAGTCCTAGTAACAATAATTCCTACAAGTGAGTCTCACATTGACACTCAAAGACCTCTAAACATATATCAAGAATTATTCATAGAAAAAATCCAAACGCTCTTGTCCTACTTATAATATATAAAGCCTTTTAATTACCAATATATATTGCCATTAGTTCAACTCTTTATAAAACTCATCAGAGTTCATCAAACTTTTGAAAGTTGGAAAACAAAATTAACCAGAATTAATACCTTTTATAAAAAAGAAAATTTATTCTTGTTTTGAATAACTCTTTGCCCTCACGAAAATCAGTTTTAACTCTAATACCTCTCACGCGAATACCCTCTAGATAAAGCTTAACTGAACAAGGTGAAAACTAAGCATAAAATATAGCTGAAAATGAAATTCCAAATAAATAATATTAATAAATGAATTTTTAAAAATTTTCCCATGCTTTAATCCAAATGCGAATGCATCGCTGCAGTGCCAGAAAAATAAGTTACAGAGATTTACCCACAACAATAATGAAACGAGAGAAAGAAAAACAAAAAACGAAACGAAAAAAAAAAATAGAGAGTAGAACACATAATTTAGATGTACGTCAGAATTAAATGTAAGAAATTGAAAATAAAATACAAAAATAATAAAAAAACAAAAACAAAGAGAAAAACGCAATTGGGGGTAAGGAAGTGACGGTAAATTTGTAATTGAAAGGGGGATTTCGGGAGGCAAAGCAGTTGGCAGCACCGGCCGATGATGCGACCCTGGTCGGCAGCTGTCAAAGAGGCGAGGCGAGGACGAGAAGACAAGTAAACAGAAGCTCAAAAAGGCTAGCAAATGCGAGCAAACGCGAAGAAAACGAAGCCACAGCGATTTATATGTCAGCTGGCCCAAACCGAAACCGCTCGTCAGGGGGCAAAGGCACTGCTGTCAAATAGAAGGGGACCGGGTCCGATTCTGAAAAACAGACGCAGATAGCGACGCGCATGAAAAAGCAAATTCGTTGAAATTTATAAACGCGATAATCAAAAAATCACACAAAAAAAAACCCAAAAATAAAAAAAGAAATAGAAAGAAAAAATCGGCGTAAAATCAGCGCGAATCTTTGAATACCATTTGATATCTAGCCTAGATCCAGAGCCAAAAGCCTAATTCTTCATGGAGCGCGCTGCAGTGCCACGGGGCAAACGGCCCAGAGTCCAGGTCTCCATGGACGACAAGGAGCGCGCCATCGCTCGCATACGCAACGGCGAGACCAAGGCGGGCATCTCGCGCGAGCTGGGCGTGCCGGAGTCGACGGTGCGCGGCTGGGTGAAGCGGGCCGATCAGCGCATGGCGCGCGAGGCCAACGAAGGTAAGAGAGACTATATATAACCCATTTTCCTATATATGTATATATATTTGGCTAGGCTCTGCCACTCCCTCGCCGCCGCTGCTGATGACGCACTCGCTGAAGCTGCCCGCCAAGCGGGACAGCAATGGGCAGATGCGCACCCGCTCCGCGGCGCCCATGAACGTGGCCGTGCCGCTGCCCATGCAGCTCTTCCAGCAGGCGGCCAACAGCCAGCTGCAGCTGAACGGCTGGCTGCACATCTTCAATGCGGGCATTCTCAACTTTACGCTGATTGCGACCGCCGCCTATTTGAGGGCGCGCACGCGCGGCACCACGGATCGCCAGTCGCTCTGGCAGATCATCTGCGAGTACGTGGACGAGGCTGGGCGCAATGTGGCCGCCAATGGGGGGCAGTATGTGCCCGCAGGAGCAGCAGCATTGCCAGCATTGCCAGCAGCAGCAGCAGCAGCAGCTACAGCAGCAACAACAGCTGCACGAACAACAACAACAACAACAACAGCTGCAATGGGACGCAGCGGCGGCTTTGTGGCACCACGACTGCACATTACGGCCGAGGATGACGAGGAGGCCGAACTGGAGCCGAGTCCATGAGAACCGCAACGATTCGATTTATGTACCTGGATATGCAAATAAAACGCCCGTCAATGGGATTATGTTGTTTAAAGCAAATAATTGCATTTTAATTAGCAGCGAAATAAGTGCGATAATTGGCTCACGGGTCGGGAGTCCAGTTGCCCCCACTACTCTCCCCCCTCTCTCTCTCTCTCTCTCTTTCTCTCTCTGTGTATCTGAATCTGATGCGGCTGACTTTATTAACCATATTATTATTTCATTTCATTGCATGTCATGCAAATTTCCAATTGAAATTGTTGTCGTTGTTGTCGTTGTTGTTGTTATCCTGTCGTGCTCCCCCTCACCTCTCTCTCTCTCGCTCCCACCCGCTCTCTGTCGCCGGTCAGAGTCACGTAATTAAGCGGTTTTATTTGCGGCTTTGCCACACATTAATTGCGTATGTTAAATGTAAAATTTATTTAGTATACCAAAAAAAAA